GTTGTTGAAAAGTTGATCCAGAAAGTTAGGCGAAGAAATGTTTATTTTGCCTTGTTTGTTTACTATTTTTGTTGCATGTTAAATGTCGCTTTGGATGGGGTCGAAAAGTTTGACCTCTTTTTTGTTGTTTTGTTTGTTTGTTCTGTGAAAAAAGGGCATTTTTTCATAAGCAGTTTTGTCCATTTTGTGAAAAAGAAAAGAGGTTGTTTTGTATAAAGTATGTACAATATTTAGATTATGTACAATGTATAACTAAATGCCTGAAGTGTGTACGCGGTGCATATAATACAACAACAATGATGAAAACGATATTAATAAGTACCAATAAAACAGCAACAAATACAAAAAAAAAGCAACAAAAATACATCTAAAAAAATAAACCAGTTTACCCACTTTAGGAAATGATCATTACATTCCAATAACTAACTTAACATATCAAAAAGAAAAAAAAAAAAGAAAGACAAAATTCAAGCCACCATTTTTCCCGTTCTAAATTGATACTCCTATAAATGTAAATATCACTACCACCTTATTTGGGGCGTTGGTATTCTGATAAAGCGTTGGGCGTGTAAATAAACTCGGAACTTTCGCATCTGCAGGTACTTGCGTTGAGAATATTGAGAGTCGAATGGTGTTGGTGTGTGTGTGTGTGTGTGTGTGTGTGTGTGTGTGTGTGTGTGTGTGTGTGTGTGTGTGTGTGGTGTGTGTGTGTGTGCTTTTTTCTTCTTTTTCTCTTCTTTTCTTTTTTTATTCTTTTATTTTTTTTTCTTTTCTTTTCTTTCTTCTTTTTCTTTTTTCTTTTTTCTTTACTTTCTTCTCTTTCTTTTCTTTTTTCTTCTTCTTTTCCTTTTCTCGTCTTTTTTCTTCTTTTCTTTTTCTCTTCTTTTGTTTTCCTTTTCTTGTCTTTTTTCTTTTCTTTTCGTTTCTTTTATCGTTTGCTCTTGTTGGTTGGTTTGTTCTTCTTCTTCTTAATTCGCATTTTATATATTTTTTTCTATGTGGTTCGATCGATGACGTCACATCCGGTCGGGGGTTTGTATGGGGAGAAGGGGGTAGCGAGGAGGGGGAGAGGGAGGGAGGGGGGAGGGGGTGACGCTTTTTTGGAAATGTCACTAAAGAGCGACATAGGGAGGGAGGGAGAGGTGAGAGAGAGAGAGTTGGAGAGGAAAGGGAGAAAGATAGAGAGGGGAATGGTGGGAAGAGAAGAGAGGAGGGGTAGGAATAGGGAGAGAAATAGAGAGGGGGATATAGCGATAGAGAAGGGGAATAGGGAGAGAGTGGGGGATAAATAGGAGGGAGGTAAGGAGGGAAATTGGCGAAGGAGGAATGAGGGAGGGAGGCCATGAAAAAGGAGGGGGGGAAAGGAGTTGCGAGAGAGAAAGAAAGAAAGAAAAGAGAAAAAAGAGAAAGAAAGACTGAAAGAGAAGAAAGAGAAAGAAAGAGACAGAGACAGAAAGAGAAAGAGAGAAAAAAGAGAAAGAGACAGAAAGATTAAGAAAGAGAGAAAGAGAGAGAGAGGAAAGGGGAAGTGACACGGCCGCCGCCCCCCCCCATTTTGCTCGAGGCTGTCACATAATGTCACGATAAAGGGACGTGAAGGACGTGCTTGCCTTGCTTGTGGTTGATGTGTTCTGAGTTTTTCTTTTTATTTAGTTTCCCCTTTGGTTTATATTTGGAGTTGGGGGAGGGATAGAGAGAGGGGGGAGATATTGAGGAGAGGGTGAGTGGGAAGGAGAAGTGGTAGAGGAATAGAAGGGAGAGAACTGGGAGAGAAAAGAGAGAGAGAGTAGAGAGAGGAAGAGAAGAAATAGATAGAAAGAGAAGAAATAGAGAGAAAGAGAAGAAGGAGAGAGAAAGAGAAGAATAGATAGAAAGAGAAGAAATAGGAGGAAAGAGAAGAAATAGAGAGATGGAGAGAAGGAGAGAGAAAGAGAAGAAAGAGAGATAGAGAGAGAGATTATGTTTAGATCTTGTGCTTTTCGGATCCGCTCGCCTGTCAGATTGTGGCAGTAGTTTATTAGTGGTTTTGTATCATTTATTTTCTTCTTTCTCTTCTAAATTATCATCATCTCTCATCTTACCCTTTCATCTTCCTCCGCTGGTCGTTCTTTCGCCAAGCCTCATCTTCCTAATTTCCTTATCTTCTGTTCTCTTACTCTCCCTTTCTCTCTTCTTTCTTCTTTCTAATGTCTCCAACCTATCCTTCCTCCCCTTTCCCTCTTATCTTTTCATCTCTCTCCCCATAAACCCCCTTTCTTATTCATCTGCCTGTGCCTTCCTTCACTTTCCCTTCCTCCCTCCCTCTCTCCCAATCTCTTCCACCTTCCTTCCGTCATACTTCCCTCCCTCGCTCCATCTCCTCTCCTCTCCTTCCCTTCTTTCCCTCTCCATCCCTTCGTCCTTCCCTCCTTCCCTCTTTTCGCTCACCCACCCACTCTCCTTTTTCCTTCCTCCCTTCCCTTCTTCCCTCTCCCCTTTCCCCCTCCTTCCCTTCCTCCTTTTTCCTTCTTCCCTCCCCCCCTCCCTCCTTTTCCCTTCCCCTCCTCCTTCCTTCCCTTCTTCACTCAACCAACCACCCTCCCTCCCCTCCCTCCCTCCCCTCCCCTCCCCCCCCCCCCTCCCCCCTCTCTCCCCCCTCACCCACCCTCCTTCCTACCCTTCTTCCTCCCCTCCCCCTCTCCTCCCTCCCTCCCTAACCACCCTCCTTCCTTCTCCTCCCTCCTCCTCCCTCCCTGTATTGGTTGCAAAGGACCAAAAGGCTGGAACAGGAAACGCGCGTAGGCCTTCTCCCGGCGTCCTCCGTGATCGATAGGCCTAGGAAGTCGGCGGCATCGTAGGCCTGCCTGGGAGCCCCCCCCCCCCTTCCCCGCAAACAAAGGAACTCGGGATGCTCTCGAGTCTGAGAGGGAGGTGGGAGGGGAAGAGGTGGAGGAAGGAGGTGGTAGGAGAGAGGAGGTGGTGGATGGGGAGGGGAGGTGATAGGGAGGTGGGAGAGAAGGGGGAAAGCAGGGGAGGGAGGAGGTAGAGGAGGGGGGTGGGGGAGGAGGGGGAGGAGGAGGAGGAGGACAGAGAAGGAGGTGGGAGGGAAGGAGGAGGAGGAGAGAGAAGGAGGTGGGAGAAGGGGGGAAAGCAAGGGAGGGAGGAGAGGAAGAGGAGGAGGAGGAGGAAGGAGAAAGGATTGGGATAAAGCAGAGGAGAGAGAGAGGGAGATGGGAGAAGGGGGGAAGCAAAGAAGGGAGGGGAGGTGGGAGAGAAGGGGAAGGCAAGGAGGGAGGGGGAGGTGGGAGAAGGGAAAGCAAAGGGAGGGAGGGGTAGGTGGGGAAGGCAGAGAGGGAGGGGAGAAGGGGAAAGCGAGGAGAGAGAGAGAGAAGAGGGAGAGTAGGTGAAGACAGGGAGGAGGTTAAGGAAAAGAGGGTCTGACTGAGAGTAAATATAGGGGTGGAGGGGGATGGAGAAGGAAAGGAAAGAGAAGCGAGAGCGAGAGAGAGAGAGCGAGAGCGAGGAGAGAGAGCGAGAGAGGAGAGAGAGAGAGAGCAGAGAGCGAGAGAGAGAGCGAGAAGAGCGAGAGAGAGAGCGAGAGAGAAGCGAGAGCGAGAGAGAGGAGAGAGAGAGAGCGGAGAGAGAGAGCGAGAGCGAGAGAGAGAGCGAGAGCGAGAGCGAGAGAGAGAGAGAGAGAGAGAGAGCGAGAGAGAAGAGAGAGAGAGAGAGAGAGCTGAGAGAGAGCGAGAGAGAGGAGAGAGAGCGAGAGAGAGAGCGAGAGAGAGAGAGGAGAGAGAGAGAGAGAGAGAGAGAGAGAGAGAGAGAGAGAGAGAGAGAGAGAGAGAGAGAGAGAGAGAGAGAGAGAGAGAGAGAGAGAGAGAGAGAGAGAGAGAGAGAGAGAGAGAGAGAGAGAGAGAGAGAGAGAGAGAGAGAGAGAGAGAGAGAGAGAGAGAGAGGCAGAGGCAGAGACAGGGAGGGAGCATAATTTTTAGATTAATTAATGAATTAATCAATTAGGGGCTGGACAGACAGAATGGGGAGGGAGGGAGGGGGTCTAGGAGAGTGGAGAGAAATGAAGAGGAGGAGTGGGGAGAGGAAGTTGAAAAGAAGGGGGGGGAGGGAAGGTAAGGGGAGAGGACAGGGAAGAGAACCGGGGAGAGAGGAGGAAGTGGGAGAGCAGGATAGTGAACCGGGGAGAGAGGAGGGAAGGAAGTGGAGACTGGGAGAGTACCGAGGAGAGAGGAGGAGAAGGGGGGGGAGGAGGAGTGGAGGAGGGGAGAGGAGGGAAGGGGGATGGGACTGGGAGAGTACCGGGAGAGAGGAGAGAGAAGGGGGGGGAGGAGGAGTGGAGGAGGGGAGGAGGAGGGAAGGGGATGGGGACTGGGAGAGTACCGGGGAGAGAGGAGAGAGAAGGGGGAAGAGGAGGAGGAGTGGAAGGAGGGGAGGGGAGGGGGAGGAGGAGGAGGGGAGGAGGGGAGGAGGGGTGGTAGAAGGCCCCCTTGTCACCGCTAAGTATCCTGCAGGCGTCCGTTCGCTTCCCCGGGCAATGTTGCAATTTAGGTGCAATTAATCAGTGTCACCGCCATGCATAGTAAATGTTTAATTACATTATGATGCCGGCGGGGAGGTTCCGGTAAAGGGTTAGGGGGGGCGGGGGGAGGGGGAAGGGTAGTTGAGGCTATCGCTTTTTTTTTTTTTTTTTTTTTTTTTTTTTTTTTTTTTTTTTTTTTTTACTGGGGGTAATTAGAAAAAATGCTTAATTGATAATGTTGATGGCATGATTATGTACACATTTAGATGTATGAATATAGTAATTTGTGTGTGCGTATGTGAGTATGTGCGCGTATGTATGTATGTATGTACACATATGTATTTATGTGTGTGTATGCAGATGTGCATAGGTATGTATGAATGTATTTGTGTGTGTGTGTCTGTGTGTGTGGTTATCTGTCTGTCTATCTGTTTGTGTGTGTGTATGTTTGTTTGTGTGTGTGTATGTATGTATGTGTTGATATGTCAGCATGTACGCGTATATCATTCTGCGTATACATGCAAGTATGCGCGCACGTGTACTGACGCGTGTCCGGGCCGTGTGCGCGATAACATGCCCTGGTGTGATGCTCTTGAAGTATACTATTGAGAATACAATGGCCCACTTGAGGACAGATAAAGAACGTGAGCGAGGGAAGGAGGAGGAGGAAAGGGAGGAGGTGGAAAGGGAGGAGGAGAAGGTGGAGGAGAGGAGGAAAGGGAGGAGGGAGGAGGGAAAGGGGAGGAGGAGGACAGGAGGAGTAGGAAAGGAGGAGAGTAGGAGGAGGAGGGGAGATGGAGTAGGAGGGGAAAGAGAGGAGGGTGGGGAGGAGGGGGGGAAAGGAGGAGGAAGAGGAGGTGGAGGAAAGGGAGAGGAGAGGAGTAGGAAAGGGAGGAGGAGGAAGGAGGAGGAGGTGGAGAAGAGAGGAGGAGGGAGGAGGAGGGAAAGGGAGGAGGGAGGAGGTGGAAAGGACGGGGAGGAGGAGGAGGAGGGGGAGGAAGGAAAGGATGAGGAGGGTGGGGGAGGTGGAGGAGGAAGAGGAGGATGAGGGGTAAGAGGAGGAGGAGTGAGTGGGGAGGAGGAGGGGAGGAGGGGAGTGGGGAAGGAGGAGGAGGAGGAGGGGGAGTGGGGAAGGAGGAGAGGAGGAGGGGAGTAGGAAAGGGAGGAGGAGGAGGAGGAGTAGGAAAGAGAAGGAGGAGGAGGAGAAGGTGGAGGAAGAGGAAAGGGAGGAGGAGAAGGGGGAGGAAAGGGAGGAGGAGCGATAGATAAGGCTCAAGGAGGGGACGCGGGGAAGAAGGGGGGGAGAGAAAGAAAATAAGGGAGAGAAAAAAAAAAAGGACATTTTGCTCGCTTTAATTGATATTATTTTCGTCTTATCGGGCCTTGTTATCGGAGGATTCCTCGGGGCGGATTCGATTGCGGTGGGGGGGGGGTGGGGGGAGGAGAGAGGGGAGAGGGAGGAGAGGGGTGGGAAGGGAGAGGAGAGGGGAGAGGAATGGAGGAAGGAGGAGGGGGAGAGGGGGGAGGGAGGGAGAGGGGGGGAAGGAGAGAGGGAGGGGAGAGGTGGAGGAGGAAGGAGGGAGGGGAGGGAGGGAACGAGAGAGGAGGGAAGATGTGAGAGTGAAGAAGAGGAAGAGAGAGAGAAGGAGAGAGAAGAATAAGAAGAAAGAAAGAATGAGAAAGAGAGTGTCAGAGAGATTTAAGTGGATAAGAAGAGAGACAACAAACAGACAGACAGACAGACAGACATAAGTCACGGCCTTATCACGACAATGATTTCGTCTTCATCTAAACTGCTCGAGGAAACGAAGAGAAAGAAAAAAAGAAAAAAAAAGAAGGAGAAACGGAAGAGAAGAGAAAAAAAAGAGAGGAAGGAGAAAAAGAAGGAAGGAAAAGAGAGAAGGAAAAGACGTTCAAAGCGAACCTGAATGCCGAGCAAAAGCAGAATGACTTCTTAAAGGGAATCTTCTTCGCATGACTAATAGATTCCTACTCCGCCCCTTCTCCTCATTGAGAGCTGCATGGCGGGAGAGGGTGGGTGGGAGGGGAGAGGAGAAAGGAGGGGATGGGTGGATGGAGGGAAGGGGAAGGAGGGAAGGGGGAAGGGTGGATGGGGGAAAAGGAGGGAGAGGAGAAGGGGAGGGAAAGAGAAAAAGAGAAAGAGAGGGAGAAGGAAGGAGGGAAGGAGGGAAGGGTGGATGGAGGGGAAAAAGAGAGGGAGAGGGAGAAGGAGAGGGAAAAAGAGAAAAAAGAGAAAGAGAGGGAGAAGGAAGGAGGTAGAGGAAGGGTGGATGGAGGGGAAAAGAGAGGGAGAGGGAGAAGGAGAGGGAAAGAGAAAGGGGAGATTTAGAGTGAGGAGAAGGAGAGGGAAAGAGAGAGGGAAAAATGAGATGGATGGAGGGGGGAGGGGAGAATTGGAGAGAGCACAGGAGAAAGGTGGGAGAAGAGGAGAAGGAAAGAGAAGAAATATAGAAATAAGAAAAAAACGGAAGAGAGAGGGAGAGAAAAATAAAGTGAAATAGAAAGCAAAAGAGAAAAAGTAAAAGAAAAAAAAAAGAATAATAATAAAAAAAGAATCGCCATTGGCACATCAAGGGTTTCGGGCAGAAACCCCACCTTTTATTTCTATCCCCTCTTTTATTCATTCCGTTTTGCTTCCCCCCCCCTCCGCCTCCACCTCCACCTCCCGCTCCCCCTCCACCTCCACCTCCCCCTCTCCACCTCACACCCTCCCCCTCCCCTCCCTCCCCTTCCCTCCTCTTCGTAAAGAATGGGCTCTCGGCTGGGTGGCATCTCTCGAAAGCCTGTCATCGGAGGCTGTTGACCGCTTTGGTGGGCTGCGTTTGATGTGGAGGGGATAGGTGAGAGGGGAGAAAGGAGGGTGGGGATGAGGGGAGGGTGGGTGGGAAAGAAGGGAAGGGGGAAGGGGGAGAGGGATGAGGAGAGGGAGGGTTGAAGGGAGAGGGTGGTGGGAGAGGGAAGGAGAGGGA